AGTGGTGCCGAGGCAGGAGGAAGAATCTGTACAGCCTCAGGTTGCTGCAAATCGAAAACCATTATCAGAACAAGAAATGCACAAAAAGTAAAAGCAATCATACAATGATATATAAGATACCTCAGTGAGGGGTGTTAATAGTTGAGATTCGACATTCGTCGATACAGTCTCCGATGGAAGATCCTGAAAATCAAATTTTGAAACCTTGTTACAAATGTTATCGAGACTTAAGAACATAGAATTTGTATAAAGAAGGAAACTTACGCGACTTGAACGGGTGGCGGGTGTTGTCGTGGGGATGGTATTAGAGTCCGTCGATAATGGATCGAGAGCAATTGGTCGAACGAGATCGAGGACTCTTCGATTTTTGTTTCTGAAAATAGAAGATCGAAAAAAGATAAGTATAAGAATATGGATTGATCAAACAGAGAAATGAATAGGACAAAACAGAAGTCAAAAGGAACCTTCGATTTTTTCGAAGAAGTAGGAATGGTGGTCGAGCGTCTGCGTTTTCTGATCAAGGCTGACGGGTCCGACTCACCCGAGGATCCCCAGTCCTCTTGTCCCTTCTCTTGACCCTTCTCGACGCGGTAACCTTAGTAGATTTCGAAGCCGCCAATAAAAGAAGACAGATCAGCTTATAATATACGAGAATCAAAAAAGTATAAGAAAGCGGTAAAATCTCACCAAAGGTGATGGAGTCAAGATCTTGACTCGGTCGATATGTACAAGCCGGGAAGGCAAAAGAGCCTCGGGGAGGTTAAGGTAAGGGAAATAAGATAATTTCGAGACGAAATATCTTTGTTTTTGGGTTTTGGGCAACGTGTTTCCCCGAGGGTTCTCAATTCTCGAACCCATTTTGGATGAGTTAATGGTTTGGCAAGTCCAAAAGGAGTCTGTGGGAAAAGTAGGAAGGCGATTTGGACAATACATTTCAAAAGGGGTTCTACCTAAAGGATTGATTATTTTGTGGTTCGATCGATTAATGTCTGTTTTATTGGATAAGGAGATAACGACATCATAATAGGTCGATTCTAATTTCAGTGGGGTGTAACATATTTGATAAAAGTTCTCGAATCGAGATATTTGAAGACGAGTGGAAGTGTGTACCTTTCTTCGATTTTGACTTGTCCTGTAACACAAGAGAAGGTTGAGTAGTCAGTTTCTGTCGAACTCCATCAAAAGTAGCATGACTACTCGAGAACCAACCGGCCCACCATTGAGAAAAACCCACGAGTAGATAAATAATTTGACTCGAAAGCATAGGGGTAAAAGTGCATCGGGGTTTTTGGTAAAAGCTCAACAAGCTCCCGACTAATTGTGGATTCGGTTAACTTGGACTTTGGGGAGGTATCGAGAGAGAAGAAAGGCAAAGATTGGCTCAACCCAAATTGTCTCGAGAAAAGTCTGGGGGTAATAGGTGACAAGCTTAAAATCCTTCGACTGAAAACCCGACACCAAAACATCATGGGTCAAATAATTACTCCATACACCTATCGGTTCCGATTGCAACCCGAGAGTCGAGGCGGGAAATTTTGATTTAAACCAAATCGGCCCCCTAAGTTGGCCACTTGTTCGTCCAAGATTTACGATAAATGGGGTCAAGGTTGAGTCGAAAGTGAATCTGGTTAACAAAAAATGAAGGTATTTACGGTAGGTAGTTTCATCAGACTTATGGCGAGGGTGACGAGAGGATAATCGGGCCCCTTCTATATTTACACTCGGGGGGACGGAAGAAATTCGAGGAAGGACGCTCTCAAAAATCGAAGTAAGCCACAACTGTACAAACCAAACGGGGCCTGAAAAGTTCCCCGACGCTTTATGTGTGTTCAAAATTTTGACAGCCTCGTCGAAAGTAGCATACACATGAGCTAATAGCAGCTTAGCCAAACATATCCTAGGCTGACCGATGTGCAGGACATATGCAAGATCAAACAAATGGGAGGAGATTTGGATGGATCGGGGGCAAAATACATGGGTGCATAGCCAATACACCAAAAATGCTACATGCTCTTCATCAGTAACAGCTATCGAAGGGTCATCAACAAAATGTTTCTCAATGAAATGTCCGTAAGCCTTCGATTCCCAATCAATTTTGGACCTCAAAGAACTACTCGAAGGACATGCACCTTTAATATACTTCTCCCCTATGGGCTTCAACCCAGTAATAGCCGCAATCTCGAAAAGGGTAGGCGACAGAGGGCCACAAGGCAACTCCAAAGCATGTAGGTCCTTGTTCCATAAATGCACCGCAGACAAAAACATCGTCATGTCCAAAAATGATAAATCGCATCGAGACAGATGCAAAAAGTCGAAAATTCCTATATCCCTCCAATGGTTCCCAAACTTGGCTTGTACCCTATCGAACCACCTAATAAATTGAGGCTTTTTGGAAGGAGGGCCCGTTCTATACACTTTAGAGGTAAGATTCGAGAAAATCAACCCTAACTTCGGGTTGATGAACCAAAGCCGGACTAGTTGAGAGGTTAAGAGGAGTAAAAGTGTCATCGATAGGACGGAGAGGACCCCAAAAGCAAAATTTACCCCTTCAACGAGTATAAGGAATAAGTACTGCGTCTCGAGCAATTTTGCGGGAAGCCTCCTCCATCAGAGGAACTGGAGCGAACTTCTGGTTGTTGATCTCCAGCAGGTTAAAGGGTAGTGAAGGAAGGGATGGAGCGGAAAAGTCAGAAGATTTTGATGAGCTGGCCATTGTAGTGAGCTTAGGAAAACAGAAAGGGAAGAGTTAATGGATGAGGTAACGGGGACGAAGGCAGGAGCTCAAGGGAGAAGATGAGATTGCAAAGAGGGTGATAGTTCGCGTAAAGACCAGAGTAAAGATCAAGGAAAGGTTAAAGGGAAATCGTCTAGGGAGTTGGAAACGGCGGAAGGGAAAGGTAATTAATGTAACTTGTACTGAAAGACAACAGACTGACGAGACGGCGACGTAAAGTGGAAAAGAAACCTAAAACCCTTTTTAACCCTAGAACCCCAGAAACCCTAAACCCTAAATCCTGTGGGCTTTCAAACACTAAGGCGGGAATATTGAAAGAATATAAAACAGAAATCATTTATATTCTTCCAAGGGGGCATTTTGTTAGTGGCAAATCGAGAAAAGCGATCGAAATCGAAGGGAAGAAATATGACTCGATAAGATAAACAAAAATTCATTCGATGTCTAATTAGAAATACGTAGCATATAGCATCGAGAAACACAATCGAGAATCGAATGAATTATAATCAAATGACTGTTGTCGAATAAAAACTAAGTCATATAAGACCAGGGTTAAAAAGGAATCGTAAGCAATTCGAAGTTCTCGAAAAATACAGAATCGAGAGTAAAGAAAGCCAATGTGGACATCGAGACTTTGGCCAAATTGGGAAAGGAAGTAAGTCGAATGCATGTATAAAGAGCAGTTTTGAAATCATGGGAAAAAGTCGGAGATCGTGAGAACGTGGGAAACTATAGAAGATAAACTGTCATACGCACGTAGAACGTGGTAGCAGTCGCGTTAACTGCTCTCGGAAGGCTTGAAGGATGCCCTATAAATAGAGCAAAGGAGGAAGGAACAGGAGGAGCAGAAATTGGCAGAGAACAGGATCAGTAGTGAAAAGTCTACCGGAGAAACGACGAACACCATGAAGCTTCTGGCAATCTGGATTTCCTTGCTCACTGAGTACATTTACCGCTTTCTGTATTTTCCTTGGTAATTTATTTTGATGCAACTTAAATTCAGCAATTTTATGTTTCTGTATTTTCAATTCCTTGTCCATTTCAATTCAATGAAAATTTGAGTTTCTGCATTTAGATTTCCATGTTATTTAACATTCTGCAAATTTCAATTTCCTGTCATTTACTTTTCTTGTAATCTCGATTTCTTGTCATTTATATTTGCGTTGTTTTCGATTTCTTGCTATTTACAATTAATGCAAGTTTGGAGTTTTCGCACTTTACATTTCCTCGCAATTTAACATTCTGCTTTTTCGATTCGATAGTTTTAATGCTTTCGATACTTTAAATACAAAACACCAAAAACAGCGTTTTCAATATCCTGTGATTTTCGATTCTCATACACGTTTTCGATTGAAAATCAAATTGCTAGCCTAAGTAAAAAGAACTTACGTGGTAGGATTTCGATTAAGACCGAGACACCTTTAGAATCGAAATCGATCGAAATTCCACCAGAAACACTTATGTATCTTTAAAGTATCTACTGTGGTTTTAGGATTTTGTTACCAAGTGGATTTAAATGAAATGTTGAGAGAGTAATATAACAATAGGAGTAAATTACTTTTGAAAAAAAAATCAAATGTTTTCTAATAGAATAAATGCTTAATTTTTTTATTGGTGGGTGATTCTTCAAAACTTCCAACAAAGGGCGTTTTGGTATTTTGGCATGCCTTTCGGTGGTGTATAAATTATATAAAATAGAGGATTCAAATATGCAAATACGACGTCTTAATTCAAAGCAGACACGTACTGAGTGCGGATCTCCCCCTCTTATGCAAACAGCACGTCTTAATTCAAAACAGACACATTACTGAGTAGCGGATCTTTTTCGGATGAACGGGCTAGCGTCACTCTCAATAATTTTTTTTAATTTCCATTTAATTTATGTTTTTTTTTCTCTTTTAAACATAATAACGTTTAATATATTTATTTATATATTTATAATTTTATATTTACAATCCTCCTCAATTTTATAATTTTTATATAATTTATTATTAACTCTCATATAATTTATAATTTTATTTTCCTCAAATAATAATTTAATATATTTAAATATATTTTTATAATTTTATCTTTTCCCCCTTTTATATTTTTTATATTATTGGTTACCACTGAACGACTGTTTAGTTAGTAAGAACATGTCACTGTAAAGGAAAAAAATAGATTGAAAATTCCATAAACTCGTCCAGTTGTGAAAATAGTGGCATATGGCAAATAGTGGCAATGGACGGGAAGGCCTGCCCCGGCATGGGAAGAAGAACGAGGTAACTTCAAAGTTCCTATTTTTAATACTATCATCTCTTCTCCCCTTCCCTCCGCCCCTGCATGCCCGATGCAGATGCATATCATCATCATGCCACTGTTTTTGTGAGCCAAGCTTTTGATGTCCAACTCTAATTGTGTTACGACAACGACCCTGGTTTTGGTGGGGGCAAGTGCCGATGACGAAATGATGCGTCACCCTGTGGATGCCGATGTTGTGGAGGTCGACAGCTGAAGTCGAGTTCATGGTAGGTGAGGGTGGTGGCATCGATGAGGAAGAGAAGAAGTAGGAGGAGGAGGATGGTGGCAATGTACGCTGAGAAGGTGACACATTCTGCAACAAGAAAAGACTATTTTGACCTCACCTCACTTCTAAACATCTTCCTAAGGCTTGTCCAATTAATATCATTTGCCATATGTTTAAATGATAAATATATATTTAAGTAAAGATATGAGTCTGCCTTTAGTAATTGATTTGTTTGCATGATGTATGAATATTTAAAATTTGCAGAGTTAATATACATGGAAAAAGGTAATGAGTTATTTGTTTTTGTAATGAAGATCGGAATAAGGAGAAGGTCCAGATCCAACAAACCCGTGGTGAGCAAGATACTTGAATGGATATGGAGGAAAACAACTTTGATGAACAAGAAGAAGGATGCAACTGTTAGTGCTCCTAAGTAAGTCACTGTTCAAGACCCCACAAGTCAAACTCAAATAAATAAGACTCAAATAAAGTTTGATTTTGTTCTGAATTATAATGTGTTATAATTTGATTTTGCTCTGAATTTGGATTGGCATGTGTTTATTTTTTATCTACTAGATTTATCATGTCTTCACCTCATATTAGTTCGTAAAAGTTTTGCTAATGTTGAAGTTTCTACTTATTAAGTTTGCAATCATTTTCAATGAGTTTTGACCATTCATGCTACAACAAGTTTAGATGCCACAGGAATAATAGATTGAGTCATGCCATGATGTTTTATGATTTTGCAACTAATAATACAATGAGCTTTAACATATTTTAAACATATATATTTTTATTTTAACACAATTATGCAAAGGCTAATAATATCTAAAAATTACTTACATAATATACTATTGTTTGCTTGTACAATGCAATCTTTATCACATCCAAATAAAAACCTGTAACTCACTCCTTTGGTTCTATACAACTTTTTCGCAGTGCTTAAATTACCAACTAGACAATCTATTAAAAGATACATCTTTGATTATGAGATATTATGGTTAATTATATCCACAGTATTCATCTTAAAAAATACATCGTCCACGATTTTCAATTTTATAATTTTAATATATTAAATGAAAACAAATTATGTAAATACAAAAATATTAGACAATCCAATCCCCTCTATTTATAATAAGTGTATTAAAAGTAATTTGAAAAATAGTATTATGAAAGATAAAATATGAAGAAAAACGGTTCCACAACCCAATCTTTTTTATTAGCCGTATAATTATATATCAATTAACAAGATGACTATCAAAATATTAAAAGTAAAATCATAGTTAAAAAGCTAAAAAATGATTTCATATTAAGAATAGAATGATAATAAATTATGTATACCAAACCATTACAAAGACTAGTGTATTAATAATATAGAAGTATACATAAAGTTTAAGTACAGCTAAACATAAGTTTAGAAAAAAAAATTATCATTATTATTAGAAATAAAAGTGTCCATATTTTCTAAAAAAAGTTAAAAAATTATTACTAAAATATTAAATTATCATTTTTAAATAATAAAGAAAATATTTACATAGTATGAAAAATAAAATAAAAATAAATTTGATGAAATTTTTTTTTACATGAATTTCATTTATTAAAAAACTCTTGCTTTCTACGCTTCCATAATTTTTTTCTTGCACCTCCATACCTGAAATACTTAAAATACCTTTCCCATATTTTTTTCCCCTAACTTTTTTTATTTGTGTACAATTTCTTCATCTTTGTTTGATTTTTTTTACTGTCAGCTTCATTAAATTACATGTTTCTGGATTCCAATTACAAAAATAAATCCAAATTACTCTATGAAATAGTATCATAAAAATAAAATTGAATTCTAAAATACTCTATGAAATAATATCATAAAAATAAAATTGAATTTTAAAATGCTCTGAAAAGACCAAGAACACACAATGTAAAATACAGTTTTGGATTGATCTTTTTAAAGAGACCTTTTAAACATCCAATTCGAAATTCATAATAAAACAAATCCATAATACATTTCAAAAATAAAGATAAGTATAAATTAAGGTTTAATTTAAGGGTAAATTGAAAAATCATGAAGAAAGAGCCTTATTAAAAATATAGATAATAACTACAGAAAAAATAAACACCATACATGTTACATGTTTCTGTCAACAATTGTGTTGCAAATCAAACAGATTAATGTTTTGTTATGCAGGTAAGAGAATATTAGAGAAAAAAGTTCTTAAATGTATTAATATTTAAAAAAATATACACAACTACTGGTTATAAATTGATAGTGCTAAACTAAGTTTTCAAATAAGTTGATTTCATCATAAGTGCTTGATATAACTATCACTAAAATTATCAATAGATATCACTAAATTTTAGATTAATTGTTATGTAATCTACATACACTGCATTATATTAACAATCTTTATTTATTAGTCCATAAGAAGTACAAAATTAAACTATTAATCTTTCTTTATAATTCATCCTTAGATTTTAATCACTAAGAATTAAACACAAGCCTTAATCAATCTTATATTATTTATTACTCGAAATATGTGCAACTGAATTTATAATAAAATAAGCATCGAAATATGTCTATCAGAATTTATAATAATACAAGTATAGAAAGAAGACTATAAACAGCACCCCTGGATCATTGTGTACGACAGAAAAAAATTAGAATAAAAAGCATTCGTTAGAAAAACCAAAAGTGCAGGACTTGGAAGAAGAAAGTGGTACAACAAAAAAACAAAATACTATCTACTATTCTAAATGGATAAAAGTGTGGATTTAATTTTCAGAGTTAAAAAATGGAAATAAGAATAAAGCTAAAGCAATTATACTTGTAAACATCTGAAAGTATTACAAGATATTGAACAAAATTTACAAATTACTATAATAATATAGAATAATTGTGATCAATAGTATTAAGATTAAATAACCTTTTTTTCTCAATTTCTCACAATTATTGCAGTTTTCTTTTCATAATTTCTAAACCCACGGTGTTAAAACCAAAAAATGTAGGTTAGGTTCACAAAAAAAAGCAGCTCCATTAATTCAGATAGATTAATTCATAAAGAACATACATAAACATAAAATGTAAAAACATAATTTCAGACAGAACGAAAATAAGCAAAACTAAGGATAAAGCAGCGAATAGACTGCATCCCTGATGAACTTTCACTTTCACTCATCATCATCATCTTCGTCGTCACCAGCTGCAGAGTTGAGAGCTTGCAAGCGTGCAATCAACTTGGCCTTCCTCTCTTCGTAGGTAAGCTTCTTCAGGTTGTACCTGGACAAAAAGATGGACAATGGAATTACTCTCATAAACATTCTACATTCAATAAACAGGTTGCCTAAATTACCAAAAGCCCGGAGCAGATGTTCTAAATGTCAAAGAAAATAATGACCACAAACTGGATAAAACATGTAAATAAGTATGCCGCCTATCCTGAAACTGGTCTAAATCTAAATGCATTTTACTATTTATAGATTCTATAAGCATTCGCAAAAATATCATAGTTATTTACCTCTTGTGCTCCTTTGGTGGCTCTTTCTCAGATTTCTTGAAAGTAGGATCAGCTCGGATGGCAGCATGAACATTCTTGTAGAGCTCTTCCAAACCATCAGGCTCTATTCCACGCTTGATATAATCACTGAAGTGTGTCTGGTATTTCTCTGGCTCATCTTCAATCAAGGTCTGCATAAAATATAAAATGGTTTGCCTAAATTATTTTCAGAAAAGTCACAGTACTGGGCTACCACACTCCACCAGGATGGTGCTAAATAAAATATTTGCCCATACCTTCATATAAGCAGCAACATGTCCACCAAAGACATATTTGCGGTGAACCTCAGCGTCGAGCTCCTTCTTATCCTTATCAAAGCCAGCAAACCTTTTGTCACTGTGAGGAATATCTAAACCTCCATCCAAAGCTCCCTGTAAATCACAACAATCATTCATTTTTGTCCAATTCTAAAACAGACATAACACCAAATAGCATTGCATATAATGGATTACCTTAAGGGCACCAAAGACACGATTTCCTGTGGTAGTCCTGATAAGACCAACATCAAGGAGAGCACGGAAAGGCCTCCTGGTCTCGGCAGGTTCAACTGAATAATCCTCTCCAGTGGCCTATAAAAGGGAAATAAATACATCAAAAGTTTGGACTAAAAAATATAGACATAGCACAGCATAGCAAACTCCAATACCTCAACATTTCCTTCATACTCCTCGTCCATTTCAAGCCTTTTAAGCACCCGACGGGCCAACAAGAGCCCAGTGCAATAAGCTGGTCACACGACAAAAGTGTGAGAAAGTCAAACAAACATGAACGAAGAAAGGATTGGAGAGATAAACTTTCTCAGAAAATACCTGCAGCATAGTTTGTAAGGCCTACTTCAAGACCATAGCGTGGCAGCTCATGTGCATATGCTGCAGCAAGGACAATATCGCCAGCAATGCTAGCAGATGTTACTTGAGCGATGATGTCCTTGTTGGTCTAATAAAAAGGTCAAGGTTTATACTCACAGATAAAACATCAACTGGTAACTACCGTTATTTACATGATATGGTCATGTACTTCTTACTAATAAAAAAATTTAAGACAATTATTACGATTTAAGCACATAAAGCCATCTCTTCATTCCATAACAGTAGGATACAAATCGAACCACAAATCGATATTTTGGGGTGTTGTATTTGTTCTTATCCTGGTTAATCAACCGAATCCTGGCTCTGTAATCGGTTTTCCCCTCTGTGATATATAAAAACAAAAACATAAAAAAGCTTGCGAGAAATAATATGCACACCAAACACAGAAAAACACAATAAATAACATACGTCTTCTTCTCTTGAACTTCACTTGATATCTCTTGAAGTAGGCCTTCGATTTCTGAGCCTTAACAAACGCCTGTAATATGCACCAGAAAATGTTGATACAGATAATGTCATTGAAGAGGCATAACAATCACAGAACAGGTAAAATTTGTTCTAAACAGTCCCATTACACGCTACCGAACGCATAAAAACTCGGAATAAAAAAGATAAACACACACACAACGCGTAACTAGAAGCAAAACCACACCACAACTCAAAACTTGGCCTTCAACAAGTTACCCAAAAACCTTAACTATCACAAGCTATAAAAGAAAAACATGGGAACATGGATGACTGAAATTCATATTCTGAAAACAATAAAGCATGCTACGGAGATGACAGAGGAGAGATCCGACACGCACCATTGCAGTGAAGCTCTCCCAAATGTGACTGCGGGAAGAATGAGAACAAATTAGGGTTTAAGTGGCTCTCGTTGAAGCGGGTTTAGGTTTAAATGGGCCTAATTGTTAGGACTTTATAGGCCCAATAATTTAATGTTTTGGACTCTTAACTTTTGATGTTCGTTTCTCAGCAAATAATTAAAATTAAATATGTTTTTATTTTGTATTTTATGATTCATTAAAATTCATTAAAATATCTTTTTATTATACGCTACTTTACATAAAATAGTTTTTTAAAATCCTTGCATACTATCTAAATTTTTAAATTGTTATTAAGAGATGAAGTTCTATTTAACTATTTCCACGTATAAAAATAAAAGAGTCGGTTTTTATTCCAGTTGGGTGAATCCTCGGATATGAAACGAGTCCACTGGACAAGATGGTTTGAAGATTTGGGCCCACCAAGGCCCAAAACTTTACTCATCATTCACTTCCTCAACAATGGCGGACGACAGAGAAAGACTCTGTAAAACCTAACCTGTAACGGTTTTCAGAAAGCGCAGCGAAACGCTGAAACCATAGACAGCCAAATTAAGCTCAGTCCCTCACTCTCGGTCTTCAATGGCGACATCACTTCTGAAAAGCGCACTCAACGTGATCCACAGACACCAAAATCATCTCGCATTCTTCTCCAATAGCGCAAGTGCAAGAACCAGTGTCCCCGTTTCGCAGAAGAGGAGATCGCATTCGTTCCCTGTAGTGCCAATGTCAGCCACGCCGGTTCAAACTTCTCTCGTAAAGTCTGCACCATCGTCCACAAACACGGATCTTCCAATAACGGTCATTCACCATTATGAGTTCATTTTGGACTTTGCATTGCTTTCTCAAATTACTGGTACTCCTTTCAAACCAAAAGGGCACTGAATAATATCGGTTTCATTCTAGTTCTTACCAATCTGTGTCATATAAAATAATTAATTAAAAAATGTATATATTTTTAAATATAAAATAGAAGATATATATATATATATATATATATATATATATATATATATATATATATATATATATATAAAGTTACATAAATCAATCATCTTTATTAAGGAAATAACTGAAAAGTAATATATTTCTTAAATTTTTTATCACTACATAAGTTAAATCTATTATTTATATCAATATTAATTTGAATTATATATACATATATATATATATTAATTTTTATTTTATGTGGTTTTGTTTATTATATAGACAAAATATTTTGATTTTATAAAAATATTTAAAAATATATTATTTTATATAATATCAAAATAGTCTAATCAAATAGTGTCAAATAGAGTTATGAAGTCAATTTGATTTAAAAGAAAAAGGAGCATTTTACGATTTTTAATTTATATTTTATTAAATAATTTAATTTATTGCATTAAATAAATATTAAAATAATATATAAAATAATATATTAAAATATGGTGACAAGGTTTTAAGTAAACAAAAATATATATCAAAACCAATAATTATTTAATTTTCCATTAATATAACATATAAAATGTTTTCAAAAAGCATTAATTATAGTAATATAGTAAAATATTTATTTTGAGTATATGTTATTTTAAAATAAAATTTGATTACTAAAGACTAACATTAGTTAATAATCTCATCACAAATTTGATTATTTGATTCACAAATTCTCTCACAAATATTAATCACTATTTTGTGATTAATAATAATACAAATTTATTAATTAAAAAAATATTTTAAGTAGAGTTGCTCAATAAAATATATAAATAAAGTATTAGTTATTTTATGTAAATTTTATTGAAATTTTCTATTTAGCAAAATAAATATTTAATTTTTTTATAATTATTTTGTCAATTAATTTATAAAAATAAAAAAATTAAAGTAAATAATGAAAAAAATATGATAGTTTTTTAAAAAAATTATTACAAAAATTATAATAAAATAAAATGATGCGACATTATATATTTTTATTTTACATTTTTTAAAATAAGAAAAGACTAACATAGACATGATGCTTAATTTAATCCTTAGTTTTTATCATTAAATTAGTAATTTAAATCAACCACTAAATTAGTTATTATTTTAATAATTGATTTTATCATTCATCATAATTAGTTACATATTTGGTCTTTGATTACTTTCACAAATTTAATTACTGAGTGATCACATATTATCATTAAATCTTGTATCAATCATTGATTGTGTGGTTGATTAAAAAGTTACTTTCTCTAGCATAATATAACTTTGTTTAATTTTTTTAATAATAATATATATTTTATTTTAAAACTATTTAAAATTTAAATTGATATAAATATAATTTTAACAAAATAAATTTAAATAATAAAAATATCTATTGTATTTTTTTCATCTTTTTATATATTATTTTAATATTTATTTAATGCAATAAATTAAATTATTTAATGAAATATAAATTAAAAATCGTAAAATCCTACTATTTTTTAAAAATCAATTTGACTTCGTAACTCTTTTCAGTAGAGAAAACACAATTTGATTAGACTATTTTGATACTATATAAAATAATATTTGTTTCTAATATTTTTACAAAATTAAAATATTATTTCTATATAATAAAAAATCACATTAAATAAAAATTAATAAATATATCTATATATAATTCAAATTAATATTGATATAACTTATGTAGTGATAAAAAAAATTATAAACATATTGCTTTTCAGTTATTCCCTTAATAAAGGTGATTGATTTATGTAACTTTATATTGAAAATATATCAATTTTTTATTGTTTTTTGTCTTTCTCTTAACATATAAATTTCTTTTAGTTTTGTTCATTTATCAAAAAAGTAATTAGTACGAAGGAATAAAATGAAAGAAAGTTTTTTCAGTGATAAAAAAAATAACAAAAGTGAAAAAAAAATTCATGTTACAAATTTTTTCTCACTTACATAATTTTTTTTATAATTTTAATATATATATATATATATATATATTAACGTTTTTAATAAAATATCAAAATTACTATTTTAACCATGATATCTTATATTTGATGTAAGATTGATCCGCTATGCTAATATCAAATAAGTTTGTCTTAATTTAATTATTATATTTGTAATATGCAATATGTTAATATCTTAAAATTATATAATTAAATTATGAAATTGAAAAATTGTAGACTTTTTTTCAGTTGAATACTGTCAATATAATTAACCATAATATCACGTGAGAATAAGATTCACTACACTAATACGAGTTAGTTTTTTTTCAATTTGGTTTATTAATATTCGTAATTTAACAATATACTAATATTATTTCTTATTTAACATTATTTATCATTTAAAATATTTACAAGGAAATAACATATTATAATTTAAAAACATAATTACAAACCTACATCTATTAGTTATAGTAATTTTAGGCTAATTTGTTTTTTTTAGGAAAATGGAAAATAATTTATAAACATTATTAAACATGGGATCAAGCATAAGAGTTTAATTGTTATGTATTGCTAGTATAAAAAAATTAGATAGTAAGTAATAAAAAAATATGGTTTATAATTTTTTTAAAGTTATTAGAAAAATTAATAGATTTATTTTATATTATAATAAAATAATTTGTGAAAAAAAAATTTATGATAATTTTTAAATATATTTATTATTAATGTGCTGAATGCAAGATTAATATTTATATATTATTTAATATGGTTTTCTCGTCTAAAATTCTTAATTTTCTTTTTAAGTATAAAAATATTTGTAAAAAGAAAAAGGTTTTATTATAAAAATACTCTAATATGGTATAATTTAATGTTGTAGTACATTAACTATTTTTTATAAAAAAAATATTTATTGATCTCTATAAAACTTATACAAATATTTGCAATAATATTTTTCTTATCAATATTTTTTAAATCATAATTTATAAATGAGTGCTTCAAGTAATAATAATAATTTATATTAAAATTATCTTTTTGACAAGTTAACAATTAAAGGAGCAGTGATTCATATTCAACGAACATTTTTTTTCATACAGCCATCCTGTAACTTATTTTAATAATATAATATGACAAGTATAATTTTATTTTTATTTAATTATTATTAAAGTAAGTTGTTATTTAAAAGTGAATATCAACTTATAAATTTTTGTGACTAAAATACAACCGTAGATAAGTCAAAGTAATAATTCATTTATAAAATAGTAATTCTTAATCCCTTCCACAAAGTTTACAAATCATTAACATAAATTTGAATATCCTTTAAAGCCAACAAAATTCATACCATGATTTACTTATTTACGTTAATAATAAACAACTAGAGATGGTCCTTGATGATTCACTTTCAAGCAACAATACAAATCAAGTTTATCTAAAATGATACTAGGGCATTGATCTAGGTGGTGCATGATCAAGTTACCATTATTTGTAAAAATAAAATAAAATATATATATATAATAATAATAATAATAATAATAATAATAATAATAATAATAATAATAATAATAATAATAATAATAATAATAATAATAATAATAATAATAATAATAATAATAATAATCTCGCGTTAACCTTTTAGAGACATTTTTGAAGCAGCATGTAATAACCAAATTTTTTTGGGTTGTGTCTTTTGAGGGTTAGATGATGCTGGAGAACAAAACCCATAGAGAACATGTGATTCTCCACCATAATCGCAACCAATATGAATTCCACATTTACGATAATGCAATGTCTTCAACGAATACTTTGATCAATTTGTGTAAATCATTGAGATCAGCTCATGCAAAGAGATTGATAGTTTGTTTACAAACTTCTGATATTCACCTGCAATGTCAGATTTGATGATCAGCATTCACAAACCAAAACTGCATTCAACTCTAAAATTTTAAAACACAAATAAATAACACTATACATAAAACATTTAACATTATCAATTACATCACAAAGCTAATCTTTACCATGAAATTGAAGAGTACGAGGTGTTGTAGTTATTCACGTTCAACTTTTTTATTCAATATATAATTAGTTTTTTTTCCAACAAAACTCACCTTAAATAGATTGTTGATGAGGAAAAACATCATTTAAAAAACACCCAGTTATTTGACTTTGTATGTTATAGCGAGATATTAGATCATTCATATATCCCTTGAAAACATAAGTTGAAAGAATGACATATAAATTCATTATAATAATCTTCTAATTCTTTTATGGTTCTCCTTTCTTTCCGGCAATAAGTATAGACTTTTCTCACACCATTCATAAATTGTCATATGTTAAAATACATATTTCATATTTTTTATTATGAGATATGATGATTAGCGTTAATATTTTTAACACAATTATGTGAAGGCTGATAATATGTAAAATTTTAGACAAAATTGTGTAATTTTCTTTTTTAAAATTATCCATTGCTGTAAATTTTTTAAAAATTATAAATATACATAAATCGTGCTATGTAGGATTATTCTCTTATAAAATGGCATGATTTCGATTTTATTTTTAGCAAAATTGTGCTATTTAACAACATTTTATATTTTTATTATTTTTTAATAAAGTCGTAATATATATATATATATATATTATTTATAATTCATTTAGAGTTTTTATATATTTATATTAATTATAAAATAATAATATATATTTTTAATATTTGATACTTTTATAATATATTTTAATTGTATAATATCATATATTTTAATTATAAAAATATAATATATTTTTTATTAACCATTTTTTAAGATTATAAATTTATAAGTAACAAAATAAAATTATAATAATAGTTAAAAGAATAAAATATATTAATATTAAATGTAAAATATATTATAATGTC